AAGTTGTGTAGGTGGTAACAATTGCTCCATGTAGAACAGTGGTCCTTTGCCCATGCACTTTTAACTTGAGAAATGAGTGGTTAATATCAAGGGAAGAAGTTATTGCTGAGTCTTGCTCAAGTGCTCTGTGAAGCTTTTTAGTTCAAGATTCAAATGATTTCCCCTCTCTGTTGTCATTCAAACATAGGTTTGTTCCCGCCATCGTTATCACTGAGAGATTTAAGAGAATACCATTAAAATTAACCTTCTCTTTTGTGAAAGTCTGTCATTTGGGCACACTGAAATCTCTACTTGAGTTAGCCTCCTCCACATATTAATGTGCCTTTCAGCATAAAGTGATGAATTCTGGGTTTATACATAATGACTAGATTATTGTCATTCTCTCATTCAAAAATCAATTACAATAATGCTGTCCTTTTTCTGAGGAGTGTTCTATCCCCTTGGTGTGGCTTGTACCCTCTGCTATGGCATATGGGAACCATGCTAATGTGCTGTGGAGCCCCCAGCACAGATTCAAGTCATTTGCAAGAGCTGCTCATGCTTTTCAGCTGACAGCGCTGCAGAAATCACCATGGAAATGCAACAGAAACTACGTTACCCTTTATTATTTGAGTAAAATCAATCACAGTTATGAGTTGGTCTTGGGTTGTTGTGTTATCCCCCTTAGTCTTACTCTCATTTCTGCTACCTTCTTACAGCAGAACACATGTTACTCATTCTTAGCATGTAGATATGGGAAACAAGAATGTTGAAATTGGATTGAATATGTTCCAGATGGACACAGCTACACACTATCAAACAAGGTTGGGTCTGCACTGATTTCCTTTAAAATATTAATTGGAAGTGAAAAATAATTCCATACTTAACAATTCTCTTGAATTCTGAATTCACTAAACATTTGAAATAAGTATTTTATTGGAAAACATATACCTAATAATTGGTTCTTAGAAATAAAACTGCCTAACCTGCTTTCCATCCTCTAAAGGCATTAAGCAACTAAAATTTGATTGGGGTAGGAGCCAGGATTCACTAACAAGATTAAGTGGTTACATGCTCCAGAGTTAAACAAAACCCAAGGACGGCTGTGTGTGCGCACTTAAATTCTCAGCAGAGAAGGCACCAAAGGCTTATGACAGTGCTAGGATGGATAAACTGGAAGATATCTTTGACCCTTGGTGCTTTGATTGGAGTGGAGATGTGGGAGAATATCTCTACATATTTAGAGCTGATAAGGCAATCTTGATGTGTTAATTGGACATTGATAATGAATTTTGGCAGGATGTTGGTGTTGCTGATGCAGGTGAGGAACAGGGTGTGAGGCTGGAGTGGGAAACTGGCAAAGCCTCATCCTGGTGTTTGTGGAGGGCAGAGGGACAGTAAAGCCCAGGTAGATGAGGCTGTGGTTTCCTGTTGGCTTTTCAAGTAGGTGGTGTGGAGGTGATAAACAATCAGATTAGTAGTATCCTAGGGAGAACTTTGTTTCGGTTTTTTTTTCAGAGTGGTAAATATGCATTTTGTAGGATTTAAACTACATAGAGAAGTAGCTGGCTTTCTAGTCAGAGAAAAGTGATAGGAAGGAAGATGAAGGATCTGCGAGGGAGTCAGAAGTTGCTAATTTGCATAGAAGAGAGGTCTTGTTGCTCCCACTGGAGTGACAGTGCCTTGTAGCAGCATCCACCTTTGAGTGGGGCACATCTGCAGGTGCAGTAGGAAGGGCTGGAAAGAAATGCAGTTTATGAATGTTGAGCCAATAGCTCAAGCATTGCTGTGGTGCATGCAGTATAAGAAAAGACTAAAGTAGATCATAAATGCAGAAAAGGTGGCAGAAAGAGCTGCCTTTCACTTTCCTTTCACTTGCTGCTAGCTCCAGGCATGCCAATGTATATGGGCCTGGCACTACACCCAGGTTAGTGGTTGGGCAGATATGCCAATAGCAGTACATGAGAATTGTGGTTTGATATTGCCATTGTAAGAGAAACGGTGATTGTGAGAGTCTTGAATTGCTGGGAAGGGCAGTATGGGCCCAGGACACACCTACTGAGGCACCTGTGTGAAACTTGGCAAAAATTAGACAGCTGGAGCAACCTCTCAGTTATTTACCCCCACAGCATGCCTTGCACGTGGGCAGTCTCACAGCATGTGTGGTCTGATTGCAGTGGAGCATCCTCCGGTAGTCCAGTCATTGGTTCAGATTCCAGGGCTATATCCCTTTCTCTTACAAGGCTGGTCTGATCTGAAAGCAGTTCTATCAAATGCAGTAATTCCCCCAAAACATTGGTTTCTTGGACTTGAGTGGCTTAGAGCAGCCTTGTGCACCCCTTGCCTCCAAAGAGATGTGACAGAGGGGACGTGCCCCAGGCTGCCAGGGTGTGCAGGCAGATGCTCTGCGCTGCGCTGCTCAGAGTGGCCCTGCCCCAGTAAGCCCTGTTCAGGAGTGGCACAGCACGTGGGCTCCCTGCCAGCGAGGTGAGGGAATTTCTGCTGGAGATCTGGCCCCTGTCCAACCAGGGTGGAGTGCGGGCAGAGCAGGCATGCCTCATGCTGCCGGTCCCTGTGCAGATAAGCTCAGCTGCACACAGTTATCCAGGATGTGAACTTCTGCTCCCTCGGGGACTGTTTCCATCTTGCATGTTGAGCAGAACAGAGGGATTTCTTAACGTGCATTTGAGGTGCCAGCAAAGGAGGCAGTTACAGCCTGAACAAAACAGTCACAATCATCTTCCCCTTGTAGGATGTGAGGGGAAAATCCAGATGTCTTTTATCTAATGTATTGAGTTTGTTCAGAGTAAGTACCAGATAAAGGCTGGAGGGGAGGATTGGCAGATGTCCTGCATGGGGATAGGTGTTCACAAGAAAATCACAAGGAAAGTATTTGCTTTTTCTCCTCAACCTTTGCTGAGTGCACATTTTTGTCAGCAACTCCATTTTTGGTTTTGTTCAGTCCTGTGCCTTGTTCTTTGTGGGTGAGTGTGTGTTATGACTGAAACATCTTAAACGTGAATTCCATTCTGGGTGACAAGAAACAATTCAATGAACAAGTGCTCTTTCCTTCCCACCCCAAGAAATGCTTGTGGAGCTTAGAGAAGCGTTCTGTGCAGGTTGTGTAACATGGTGTGCTGTAGGACTTACACATCAGTGGCCCGGCTAATTTAGCAGCTGGCTCTCTGATCTGCTCTGGTACATCAGGAAAGTGCAGCCTTTCTACTGGTTTTGTTATTGTTACAAATCCTCAGTATTTCTTCAGCTGCTACAAAGGGCAACTTTTTAATTAATTTTTTTCTTAAACTGAATCATATCACTGCTTGGACCAGTCACATTTTGTATGTGTATTCTTTAAAAGGAGCTAAATAAAAACCAGAAAACCTCAAGTCAGTGCTGCTTGGTTAGTGCTACTGCTAAGCTCCTCATTTAAGGAGAAGAAAGTTTGTTTATCCTCTGTACCCCAAGCACATGCATGCGTAATTTATGCCTTGAGCATTTCCTTTACAAATATTCCTGCTCTGTGGGAGCTCATAGGATATGCGCTATGCACTGGTGGGTTTCAGGAACGGCCTCTTTGAGGCCTGAGGCACTGCAGAAATCTCCCTGTGCTCAAGGGCTTTGCTTTTTCTAGATAGTCTGGTTTAAGACAGACTCTGACTTGTAAGTAAATGGCCAACTGCAAGCTGTATTTTGAAAGAACCGTGGTTTTAACCAGCGAAGTGTAGGTCAGTGCTAATACAGTTAAACATAAGTGTACCCCAGTGTCAGATGATCTCTAGTGTGACAATAGCTGGCTTTAGACTTGACAAAAACCAGCTAGAGCTGTTCTATTTAATCATTTGAGGATTTTCTTTATTTTGAACTTCCTTCAAAGGAAGCATTTTACTTCAATTGCAGATGTGCTCAATTTGGAAAAAAACCTATGCTTCTGCCTGTATTTCTATTTTATGCCTGGCAGCTTCTGAACTGACTGGTTCATGTGAGTCTAATTCTTATCTGAGTGACTTTGGTGCAAATTAGGGGTTAAATCAATTATGTTCTCCTGCGACCTTCTGAATCAAAAACATACATGTATCTGTTACTGTCAGGGGTGGGCTTGAGCCATTTTGGAAAAGCAGGGCTGCTTTTCATAAATATTTGTCTTGATTTAGTTTCCTGGGATATAGTTTAAATGTAAACTGCTCTGTATGCTTTGCTTTTGTGCTATCTTGCTCTATCACATCACACGGTCTCACGTACTATATAAGAGTATGGCACTACATCATGCTGTGGTGATTATTTGAAAGGGCGTACACTCTGTTTTGGACTAGATAACTGTTATCAGTGCAGATAATTGCTGTCAGACACAAAATAGACTCAGTAAACAAACATTTCATTTTATCATGTGACAGATGCCGGCTGTTTTGTACAGTGTATTTGAATGATGTTCACTATAAATCAGCACTGCTTCAAAAGCAACAAATCCAGCTCGCCCAAATCCTTCCTGACATAATTACCTTTCTGATTGATAGAAAGTTTTCATTGTTGTATACACATGATGGCATTTACAGTTGCAGATAAGTGTTTGACATAAACATCTAAGACAAACCAATTCCCCTGACCACTGTCAGGGGTGGTGGGGGAAGGTTTTTTTGTTTGGTTTTTTGTTTGGTTTTTTGGGATTGTTGGTTGTTTTTGTTATTTTGTTTATTTTTGGTTTTGTTAAATGGGGTTTTTTTAGACTTTATTCCCCTCTCTTTGTTTTTCTCCCTGGTAAAGAAAAAAAAAACTTCAAGTTTTGGAATTCATACTTGAAAATTTAGACTGTCAGAGAGAAATGAACCAATGAGTTAGCATATTCAGGATGACTTAGAAGTGCAATGGGAGTAAAAGTCTTAATTTTGTGGAGAATGAGCACAAAGCTTCTGCTTGTGTTCCTGTGGATTTTCTGAACAAAAGGATCATCATTATCTGACAAGTATAAAGAATGCATTGCTTTTTTTTCTCCCAGTGATGTGTGTCTGTGTCTTTCTCTGCAGGTCCTGTGCCTCAGAGGGAATGTGTCTTGTCGCCTGTTAACAATTCGCACCCAGTCCATGCCTTGTTGGAAAGCTTTACAGTCCTGTCTGGCTGTGCAAGCCGGGGCACGACGAGCCTGCCCCAAGAGGTGCACGTCCTCAATCTCAGAAACCCCAAGGAGGGTCTTGGCCATCATGAAAGAGAGGTAAAGGGGAAATTATTTTTTCTCCAGATCCCTGGTGATAAGTATGTCTGCAAATGGGATTGTTATATGTTAATTTGCTGCATAAAGTTATTTCTGAATTGTCACCAAAGTACCACAAAGAGCCATGTGCAATTTGCATGGAGACTGTCCACCTACACTTTACATGTCATGTGAATAAACTGCTTCCCTACCTAGCCACCCTCTTCATTATCTTTCACAACCACAAAGTATACTTAAAAAAGGTAGGGGGTGGGCAAAGGAAATAAGAAACAGATTTAGATCTCCCACAGGCCTTTGCAGAATTGGCTGTCTTCAAAAGCAGATCGTTTACCTAAATGTGTTGTAAATTAACATGAATACCTTTGGAACCCTGCCATGACCACTATAAACAAATACTGAAGTTTAGATTCTTTTACAGCCTTAATGCTTCGCTGAGGGGGGGGGCTGCTATACAGAAAGCAAGTGTTGCTGACTATGGTAGTCTAATTACTTATGTGTGCTGCACTTGCAGGGACTGGCAAAAACTTCAGCTGTTCTGAAAGCAACAATAGAATAAAATTTTTGATGTAAGGTTGTGCCATACTGTTGTTTACTCTCAAAACGCATCAAAACAGAGTGCCAAAGTGCAAAGAAAACATTGCATGCCATGACAGCTGAGCCTTTTAGTTCATATTCTTACAGTATTACATACACAAATCCTTACTACTGTCCTTGCTCCTGTGGGAGCACTGTGTGGGTACAATTAGAGAATTTGTAAACAGAGAACAAAGATGATGATCTAACAGGGAGAAACTCAGGAAAAGAGGGTCTAAATCTGCGCTGAAAGAACTTTCAAGTGGAGTCTTTCTTAGTGATTAAAATGAAGGCAGATTCCCTTGGCTAGAATCAGTCTTTCCACTGACTTCAGTATCAGCCTTGTTGGGTTTGTGGTGACTTCAGCTCAATGTGTATTGTATGCATCCATGAAACTTCAGCTGTTGTGTTCATTTTCAGTATATTTATGGTCTTAAATGTCTAGTTTATGATGAGAAAAATTACTTACAGTTTTTTCAATAGATACCTTATTGGCTTCCATTAATCAAAATTGTCAGATCTTCTACTGTAATGAGATCAATACAAAAGTTATGCTTTTTTGGTGGGACTGTGAATGAGGAACAGATATTTTTATATTTGGAGGGGGTAGTGGTGGTGTGGGGACTTGTTTTGGGAATTTTTTTTTGTTTTGATGTTCTTATAACCTTTCTTAGTATACCAGGCACTGGATGATCAGCCTGTTAAGTACACTGTGAAAGACTGAAAAAGGTGTAGGCACGATCAGTTCTCTGGACATGAAGCCCAAATTGTTGGGCTTTTTGGTTTTCTCTGGGTTTTGTGGGTTGTTTGCTTAGGGAGGGTGGTTGGGGTTGGTTGTTTGGATTTTTTGAGCATAGTTTCTGATGAGAACTAAATAGCTGTATGTGATTCTGCTGTAGATTTTTCAGTGCTTCTCTCATCTCCCAGGAAACTTTAAATCCATTGCTAAGTCAAAGGCAAATTTGGTGTGAGTAGATCTCACAAGGTAATCACAAGTTTTATTGAAAGTGGGCAGAAGAGTGCCTGCACTCAGGGGCTGTGGTACTGGGGGAACTTGTAACTCCTTGGTTACTAAAGGGTGCCCAGGGCAGGCATGGAATGGGCTGCAGCTGGAGCTTGTACCTCCCGAGAGAGCAGCATGACTCAAGTGCATTTGCATAAGGCCAAATTTCCCTCTGGGCCGTGACGCGGAGCTTTGTGCGGCCTGGCCTGGCCTGGCGCGCACACAGCGTGAGCCAGCCATGCTGCACGGGGGTGAGGGCTGTGCCCTGCTGCCTGCTCAGAGTTACACAGTGCTGCAATTCAACACTTGGCTTTGAGTAAAAATACTTGCTGTCCAGCAGAAAGAGGCTGCTTGAGGCTCATCAGATGTGCTTATGCTAAGAAAGCAGTTTGCCCTAAGCTGTCCTGTCTGTGTGCTTTGGGGTGTACTGAAGTGTAGGGCACTGAATAGATCTCAGCATTTGAAACCCGTGGCCTCCTTCTCCCATTTCCTGAGCAATTTCCAGTCACGGCCCTTGGAGATGGCTGCTCTAAAAATGCACAGGAAGCTGGAGCAAGGTTTGCTGGCAACAGTGTTGAGCAAAAGAGTGTAAACAACTTGGAAAGATCAGATTTTACTTATAGGATCAGGCTCAGAGAACAAAGCAGAGCAAATGTTATCTTTTCCATTATTGTAGAAACCAACTCCAAGTGGCCCTTTGTCTAAAAGTAGAATGCACCCATCACCTTAAGTTACATGAGCTTGATTTACCAGCTGAGGTATTTCCTGTTGCCTGCAAATGCTGATAGCAAAGGTAGAGATCTGTTTGTCATGTAGTATTTCCAGTAGACTCCAGAATAAAACCAGTAGTTTTGTTTGACAGCATATTACTTAGATTTAGCAACATTGAAAGCATGTTTAAATAAATCACGTATTTGTTCAGAGGTTGGCTGAAGTTTTAATGATATGGAATGCAAGTTCTGAAAATCTTTAAGTGAAGGCTTGCTTTGGGGGAGGAGGTTGAGTTGTTTTGTTTTTAACCTGCACTGTGCTAGAATGCTGCTAAATTACACATTCCTTACTTGCTGGGAGGAGTGTAAACTTCCCCTAGCAAATCCCTTGGAGAGTTCATGCATCAAACATACTTGTGCAGTTATCATGGTTCTCATAAAGATGTAACATATGTGTATGCATTAATTTAACTCTCTTTGACACTCATGTAGAATATACAGACAACAAGCGTTTGCAAATTTAAGGGGTGGCTGATGAGGGGGAGGGTGTGTGGCAGGGGTGATGCAGGCAGGCTTTTCAGTAAGGATTAGTAAGATTTGAGTGCTTGTCCTTCCCTATAAACTGGGGAAAAGAAGACAAAAGACAGACTGGAAATGCATAGGAGTGTGTATTCTGAACAATCATTGCAAAACTGAATCAGTAGTTTACCACTTCTGTGTTACGGTAGAAATCTGGTAAATATAAGCTCATATCATGAAATATTGTTATCACATTTATGATCTTTAAGGAATTTGTTTGTATTTTAATTCATTAATCCCATGGGGATGAAATCTTGTATGTTGAGACTGGGAATGTCTTCTTTCTTCAAGTAAGAACCTCCACAGTTCCAATCTCTTTCAAATATTTCTTAGAAATGTCTTTTATCACAATTCATATTTGGCCATGCTTTATCATAGGAAATAGAATACGGGTGCATGTAATAGCCTCAAGTGTTTATATTGAACTTGGCAAGAAAAATGCAAGCCTTTTTTGTTTGTTTTATTTGATCAAATATTCCTGGGGAAGTGAGTGCGTGTGTGCATTTCTGTACTGATCTGAGTCTCAGCTGAATGCCAGGAACTACTGAACTCTTACAATAACTTTCTCTTTGGCTTTGGGTATCTTCACTGCTTCAGTTTCTCAGTTTTTGGAAAAGAGATAGTTGCTTCCTCATGGAGCTGTTTGTTCTGAGGAAGAATTATTGTTTGCAGAGTAACTTGGAAACTCTAGAAATTTGCACCAGAAAAATGTGTATAGAAGAGCATAAGATTATTTTTAAATCAAAGTCACTCTTCAAGTATATTATCAAGTCCTGAATAAATGGAGGATTCTTTTCTTATGCCTGTTGGTTGAATCTCCCTGAGCTTCTTTGGGCACACAGTTACAATTGAAATAGTTAACAGGAGGGAGGAGGGGCATATGAAGTTAATCTCATGTGAATACTTAGGATTGAATACATATGAATACATGGAATCAGAGTGCCTGGCAATGGATTCACTATTGTTTTCGTGGACATCCTCATCCTCAAAAACTTTGAGATGTTATGCCTGATACAGATGTTTAACATGTGTTCTATGAAACGAAGGCAGGAAAACTAAGGACTTGTCTTTATGTTTATAATTTTGAATAATGCTACTGAGGCTGTAATAATTTGATGGACCTTTTTCCTCATGTTTAATCAGTGCTACTCGGCAAAAAGTTAACAATAACAACTTTAAAATTTTCTTTGAGAGTAAACATGATATTAAAATGGCTGTTAGCTCCTGGAATAGGCTAGTTGTAATAGGCTGATCCTGAATTCAGGATAATTTTTCTGTGTCACAGTGTTTTTGGTTTTTACAATTTTGAAGATCTAGGTGAAGGTGGTGAAAACCCAGCTCATGTTGCCTATTATGCTGCATATTTACTGTATTTCTCAATGTGTTTGTTTTAACTGTTTTCAGAAGTTTAATACTACAACAGCTATACCCAAGGCTATGTAAGGGAAAAATGTTTTGTTTCATGCTCAGGCATCCAGAGATCCAGGAACAGCCTTGAGATTCAGCTCAGATAAAGGGGCCACTTTCTGGGCATATTTAAAACATGCTGACCTGCAGTACCAGAGTCATGGTCAGAGGGAGCCTGGAGGTCATGTGCTGACCGCAGGGAGGAAGGGAATTCAAGGTTTGTTACTTGACAGCTGGAGTTAGTGAGGATTTTGTTACCTATTCATTTGTTTGAATAGATACACAGTGCTGCACGGGGGTATATTTAGTATTTCTGGTAGGTCAAAGGCCTTTGCTTTGAAGAAAAGTAGTTGCTGCTTTAGAAAAAGAAGCTTTGAGAGATAAAACAAAGCACTGTGCCTCTGCCAAGGTACAAACAAATTCTGAACTTAGCAACAGTGTTTTTCTTTTCTTGCCTCTTGACTTTCTGACCACCTTAGCTTGGCAGCAGTTGTGGATCTCTAGCTCTAGCAGCAGACCTGCATGTTTCAATGCATGTTCAGGGGTTTTGAACATGCAAAACCCCTCTTCAGCTGGCCAGGTCTCTTGTTATACTGAGCCCATCAAGGTTAATTTGGTCACTTCACCCGTTACTCCTTGTTCCTTGATGACGTGTGGCTCATGAAGTTGTGCAGATGCAACATAATCAGTCATCCTGGGTATACAGAATAACAATGGAAAGGGACTTT